AATCAAAAACATTCTTTACTTTATATTCACAAAAAGATTCTGAAATAAAATAATACAAAAATAGGGTTTATCTTCAAAGGGAAAACATCACAATAAGCTTAACTCTCTACAACAGCCATAAGTCACAGTGTCACCTGCTCCAGGCAGGAGTATTGATCCATTTGAATAATTTCCAATTTCTTTTTGACAGATTCAAAAGCTACAATGCTAATCTGTTGTTCCTGAAGTAGGTGTGTGTGTGTGCGTGTGTGCGTGAGCGTGTGCGTGTGCGTGTGCATGTGCGTGTGCGTGTGCGTGTGCGTGTGCGTGTGCGTGTGCGTGTGCGTGTGCGTGTGCGTGTGCGTGTGCGTGTGCGTGTGCGTGTGTGCACATGTGTCAAATGTTTTTTTATTTTTTTCAAAAATGAAGTAAATATCTTCTTTAAGGTAAGAACAACTTTTGCACAGTTGCCTTGTGAAACTGTAAAACACTGAAAAATCCTCCTTACACATAATTAACACATCACAATAAAAAAGTAACCTACTAGAAAACAATGTCAGGGTATATCAATGTAATAAAATAAATATCATGAATGAAATTGTAAATACAACTCTAATAATAGTAACTGCAATAATAACTATGATAATGATAATAATAATAATAATAATAATAATAATAATAATAATAATAATAATAATAATAATAGTAATAATAATAGTAATAATAATAGTAATAATAATAGTAATAATAATAGTAATAATAGTAATAGTAATAGTAATAATAATAATAATAATAATAATAATAATAATAATAATAATAATAATAATAATAATAATAATAATAATAATAATAATAATAATAATAATAATGGTAATGATAATGATAACGATAATGATTGATAATTATAGTATTAATAATAATGGTAATGATAATGATATTGATAATGATTGATAATTATAATATTAATATTATTATTAATATGACGATGATGGTGATGATAATAATAATAATAATAATAATAATAATAATAATAATAATAATAATAATAATAATAATAATAATAATAATAATAATAATAATAATAATAATAGCATTAATAATAACAACCAAAAACGCATTCAAATAGAAGAAATAATTCATATAACATCCCTAACTTTTGTCTCACGTAACCTGCGTATACTGCTGCCTACAGTTCTCTTTCCCCTCCGAGTCCATTACTCTGGCTTATAAATATTCTATTGGCAAGCACATTACAGCAGCAAGAGAAAGGATATCAACCTCTAGTCAAGATCTCAATATGTAACAATTTTCATATGAATACCCACCCAATAGGGGCAGTAATAAATCACAGTAATCTAATTCTATACCAAGAAATCTGCTTGGTTATAAATGCAATAGGTTATGACTTCAAGCAGTTTTAACAATACAGGTAAGTACTTTAAAAATAAGATTTTAAAACATATATATAAAATGATCATCTACTCTCATTTCTGTTATGTTTCTGTATAACATGAAAATGACCAAATACAGTTTTTCTTGTACAACATGAAAAACATAACATAGAATTAAGTAATGCATTCATTACTTGCTTGAGTCTCTACTTTCTAAAGCTGTATCTTAATAATTTTTAAAATCATTTCAAAGCTTACTTGCTGTAGTTCTTCCCATTTCAGGTTTTAACGTTTTGTGTTACATCAGCACCTAACGCTAAGTGTTTATAGCAATGATTCCTGAACATAATAATCATTTTCTTTTTTACATTAAAATGCATGCTCCTCTCCCAATCAATCTGAATATAATTGTCTTACAGATCAGTATAATCCTCCGCCCGTTGATGCTCATTCACACCAAAGCTTTCCATCAGGGGATAGTGCAAATTCCGCTCAGAGTGTCTTGATCTCATCAGCTCTTTACGGAAATATTCCACAGTCTTTTCAATGCCTTTCTCAAGTGGTACCTGAAAAAGAGAAAAAAACATAATAAAGCTAGTCCCCAAATACACCTATTGCATTCACTGCATATATATATATATATATATATATATATATATATATATATATATATATATATATATATATATATATATATGTATGTATGTACGTATGTACGTATGTACGTATGTACGTATGTACGTATGTACGTATGTACGTATGTACGTATGTACGTATATGAATACATATATGTATATATATATATATATATATATATATATATATATATATATATATATATATGTATATATATATGTATATATATATGTATATGTGTATGCATATATATGTATTTGTATATATGTATATGTATATGTATATGTATATGTATATGTATATGTATATGTATATGTATATGTATATGTATATGTATATGCATATGTATATACATATGTATATTTATATGTATGTATATGTACATTATATGTACATGTATATGTATACATACACACATATATATGCACATATTCATATTCATGTACATATATATACATATTCATATACATATATATTATATACATGCATACATGAATACATGCATACATGAATACATGCATACATGCAAACAAATACATACACACACACACACACACACACACACACACACACACACACACACACACACACACACACACACACACACACACACACACACACACACACACACACACAGATAAGTGGAGATAGATAGGTAGATAGATAGATAGATAGATAGATAGACAGATAGATAGATAGATAGATAGATAGATAGATAGATAGATAGATAGATAGATAGATATAGATATACGTATATACACCTCCCCCACACACACACACACATACATGTATATATATACATATATTGTATGTATGTATGTATGTACACACACACACACACACACACACACACACACACACACACACACACACACACACACACACACACACACACACACACACACACACACACACACACATGTGTGTGTAAGTGTAAGAGTATGCGTATAAGTATGTCTATGTGTACATATATGTGTACATGCAGGTGTATGTCTATGTTTATGTGTACATGCAGGTGTATGTATGTCTATGTATGTACATGCACATGTGTCTGGACATGCGCATGTGTGTGTACGCATGCATCTGTGTACACAAGCACATGTGCATATGTGCGTATGTGTGTGCATATGTATGTATATATGCATATATGTAGGTCTGTATCTATATGTATGTGAACGTGTATGTGTGTATGTGTGTGTATGTGTGTGTATGTGTGTGTATGTGTAGGTACATGTATGTGTACGTGTATGAGTGTGCACGTGTGTATGTATGTATGTGTGTATGCATGTATGTATGTATGTATGTATGTATGTATGTATGTATGTATGTATGTATGTATGTATGTACGTGTGTATGTGTACATGTGTATGTGTACGTGTGTATGTGTATGTGTGTATATGTATGTTTGTATGTGTATATATCTGTGCATGTGTATGTGTACATGTATGTGCATGTGTATGTGTACACGTATGTGCATGTGTATGTGTACACGTATGTGCATGTGTATGTGTACATGTATGTGCATGTGTATCTGTACATGTATGTGCATGTGCATGTGTCTGTACATGTATGTGTATGTGTCTGTACATGTAGGTGCACGAGCATGTGTATGTGTACATGTTTGTGCATGTGTATGTGTACATGTTTGTGCATGTGTATGTGTACATGTTTGTGCATGTGTATGTGTACATGTGCATATGTATGTGTACATGTATGTGCATGTGTATGTGTACATGTGTGTGCATGTGTATGAGTATGCGTATGCGTATGCGTATGCGTATGCGTATGCGTATGCGTATGCGTATGCGTATGCGTATGCGTATGCGTATGTGTATGCGCATGCATATGCATATGCGTATGCGCATGCGTATGCGTATGTGCATGGGAACGTGCATGTGCTTGTGCATGTTTGTATTTGTGTGTATGGGTGCATATGGGTGTGTGTGTTTGGGTGTATCTATCTGCATCTATCCTAATGACTACATGTATTTATACAGAATGTGAGAGGGTCAAAAGAATAGGATCAGAATATGGAAAAGAAGAATCTCTTCTCCAGAAATGGTTTTCCAGTTTATATCTGTATTCTTCATTCTCCCACACTAAGCAAGCAAGCAAAGCCCACTGAGGTCTACAAACTAAACTCACCACAGGCTGCCAGCCAAGGATGTGGTTAGCACGTGTGATGTCAGGCTTTCGACGCTGGGGATCATCTTCAACAGCATCTTTGTGAATTATCTTACTCTTCCCACCAACCATCTTATGAATGATAGTGGCAAATTCTGGCCATAAAAAAGAAGACAATTAAAAATACATAAAATAACACTGTGAGCCTCTGGTAATAACAAAATATAACAGCAGGAATGTAAAGATTAGCTGCATGTAAGTTACCAACCTTCAATAGTATGTTCATCAGGGTTCCCAAGATTAACTGGCTGGGAGTAGTTAGAACTCTGGAGTTTAATCAAGCCATCAACAAGATCACTGACATACTGGAATGACCTTGTTTGTTGCCCATGTCCATAAACCTGCCACCAAAATAATGAATCAAAACTTGACTTGCATAATAAAACTTATTGCTAGTTTTTCACTTTGTTCAGCTACTTGTTTAACTAAATGCATACTTATCACTACAACTAATACACCTATTTCATACAACAAACAAGAACCTACTGTAATATCCTGGCCAGTGAGAGCCTGAAGAATGAAATTGGACACAACTCTGCCATCATTCATATGCATCCGAGGACCATAGGTGTTGAATATGCGTGCCACTCTCACCTCGATCTTCTCTTGCTTCTCATATGAGTATGCCAAAGTTTCTGATACTCTCTTAGCTTCATCATAACATGCCCGTGGTCCTGTAAAATAACAAAAAAGGTAGGTAAACAACTCTTTAATTTACACTATTCAATTAATATCTGCCACTGTGTAAAGAAAACCAATAAAAGACAAATAAAATTAAATCAGACCTAACGAATATACTGTAGAATCCCT